TGTGTCTGTGGTATTGTATAAACGTCTGAATCGCACATTTAGAATTGCCACTGGGATTATTAACCTTGTTGTTTCCTTGAACAAGTAATCAAACCAGCTGTAGTCTGGTCCACATTTAAAGTTTTTTGTGCTCCTTCAGAGCTTGTACCCTGTGGGGTCTAGATGTGGTGAGCGAGCACCACGCACGCTCTTGGAGGGAACGGACACAGAAAACGAGGTCGGTACAAACCAAATAACATACATACATTTATTTAAATAATTTAGAACGACGATATCTGCCGAATGATACATCAATCGTAATTAACACACTAAGTGATCATCACCCAAAGATACCAGACACTCAAACAACATAACACAAGAGCACACAAAAGGCGGCGTCGCCAATGCTTCACTCACCAGTGGGCCCGCGGTGCCGTCCACGGCAGACCCACCGCGAGAGACAACCGTTCGCGGCAACCGCCACGCGCAGAAGACTCGCTCAACTCTCGCCCACCACCAAAGCTTACTTTCTGCCAGGGGTCACCACCGGCGCTACCACTGTCACAACCACGATGATGATGATGACAGTGGTAATCAACGCCACCTACCACCCGGTAGTTGTAGCCTGAAATGCGGCTTTGGGCGAGACACGTGCGCCACACGGCGCAAACTTTACAGGGGGTGTCAGCACCCCCACAACCCATATATACAATACAGAAATGACAGTATGCCATCTTGCGTAGCATGTTGTCATTCTTGCATTCTCAGTAAGTATATATCCATATTGACCAGTGCTGCTAGATTGCTACTAAAGTTGGTTTTGAGTACATAGCGCTTTAGGGGTCTGGCTTGTCCGTAAATTGTGTGTCGTGACTGATAACACTCGCAATAAAGTGGTCAATGTAGTTTTAAAACAAAGCAAGCAATGCCCAAAAGTGAGTAAAAATAAATGAACAAGATCTAAATAAATGAATATCACAAAACTAACCGAAAATTAATTACAACAATTAACTTAAAACGATAAAAACACTTCACAAACGTATGGCTGACACGTGTTACGGCCGAGAGGGTGCCAGCACTTTGCTTGACTGCTCTTTTACTTGGCACTTCTCCAGCACCTTCTTCGCTACGTCTGAATGGAGAAACAATTTTACTGAACGCTGCAGATGACAGGTACTTCAACTACCTTAAGAAGCAGGAAGTCGATAAAGTGCAGCAGAAAAGTAGCATGCATCCCCCCCCCCCCCCCCCCGAGTTTGAGATTCTCCTTAACAAGATTCTACTTGTGCTGGCAAAACCGTACGTGCTTACCTCAAACACTGGTGTCATCGTTGGTTTAGTAAAAAGAGCAGGGGCAACTCTATGAAAATGGAATCACTTGGTGCCCGTGCTAAGCACTTGCTCGCGTTTCACACTAGTGGAGCTGCATTTAGGGCAATATTCTAAAGAACTGTGCCAATCGCTACACAAGTTTTTCAGGTGTAGATACTTTGATATTTTTAGTGTCTGCGAATTAATGCGAAAGTGTAATGAAACATGAAAAAAAAAGTTTGCTTGTCAGCTATGTTTAAATTAGTTCCTGATTGTAGCGTTTTACCTATCGATAGGTAATTAACAAGTAATTACCTATCGTTATATTGAAAGGCCTATCTTCTTTCCAAGTACTCTGCATTTTTTTGGAAGTCATTAGAGATATAAATTTGTGACAAAATAGTTGATTCCAGTGGATAATCAGCGTGGTTTTTGTATTAAGTTCTTTAAGATGCGAGTAGTGGTGTAACAGAGAAACACTGCACAGGTCAATCTGTGTTTTCCGGTGCACCCTGCAGACTTAGTTAGTTGCTGTGAATGTGATGTAGAATATATGAAAGTGTGCATCTAGGTGACAATTTTTATGAAATTCAATAACTTTTTCTGTAGGTGTTTTTAGATTTCACTGTGCCTATTATGTAATTTTTCAGGGTCATGCAGTTCGCTGTCGTGCCCTGCTTTGCATTGCCAATATGGTTCAGGCTTTGGCTCCAGAAGATCTTGGTGGAATTCCTGGTTTGGTTAGCATGTGGACATGTTTGGCACAAATGGCATTTGTGCAAATGGGTGAGCACAAATGCAAATTAGGTGTATTATGTGCACATATATAGTATACAGAATAATACGAATGAAAGGATTAGCCAACAAAAAAAACTATATTAGTGTCTTCTGATGAATATATTTACGATACATAAAGAATATGATAGTGCTTTTGCATTACTGTACATTATAAGCAATTACTAAGTTCTTAATTGTTTATTGTAGCTCTGGGTGCAGTTGTACTAAGCTACTGTCACTGGGTAGGTCATTCACTATGCGCAAACAGCTAAATGGCAGTGTATGCAAACTGTGACACATCGTCCATGTCATATATCGTAAAATTCTAATACAATAATAAAAATTTATTCTTACAGTAAGGAAATATGTTTAAAACATGTAATCAATTGGCAAAAATTTACAAGATGATAAATATTCCTTCATTAATGAAGACCTTGCTTCAGAAACTCCTTTTAAACTTTTTTAGCAGACTTTTTTATAGAACTATTAATGATTATATATGTTTATTTGCTGATTTCAAACATTCAGTAATTTTATACATATTGTTTCATCAGTTTTTAGGCACAAGATTTCTAAACTCTGACATTTACAAAACAAATTAGCATACACTGAGGGCCTGACCAAGACTGCCCAAGTTATTTAGTTTTAGGTGAAAAAGGTTTCTTCCTTTCTGGACAAAACATGCCAAATATTGGAACTTTGTACTGGTTTGACTGATAGTAGCTCTGACAGAACAGCACGAAGCATTTTCTTTCTTTTTTTTTTTTGTCCTGATGCTTTTACAAAAATGAGCTCAAAGCACAGTGCAAACAAAAAAAACAAATGCAGATGTCACCACCCAAAAAAATTGCACAAACAAGGTGTGCAAAAGAAAGCAGGAAGCCAGGCCATTAGTAGTGCGTAGAAATGCGGGACTGTCATAGTACCCTGCCACTTTACAATTTGCAATGCCACCTGCCAGGCAAAGTTACAGGGCAGCGTAAACACTTTTACCTCGTCACATCGAGATGCATCTAGTCGGCACATCAGCAAGTGGTATATCCTAGACCTATACTTTGTTTCATGAGTTCCGTGCTGCAGAGCCAAGGCTACACGATCTTCGAGCACAGATTCTTGTGAAGCGAGATGTAATGCTTATGTTCAGAACCTTTTGCGCATCCTCGTAACTTTTACAAGCAGTTTCGTTAGAAGACTTACTTGAAGGCTTTTTTGCGTTTGTAAATGCGATCTGTGTGGCGATTTTGCCCAATTTTCTCATAACACAAATTTTGTGGCTCTATGATACTGAAGCAGAAACGTGGAGGCTTACCAAGAGGGTCCAGCTTAAATTGGGACGACGCAGCGAGCGATGGAAAGGAAAATGATAGGGTAACCTTAAGAAACAAGAAGAAAGCAGAGTGGATCAGCGAATAAACGGGTGTTAAGGATAACATAGTTGAAATTAAGCAGAAGAAATGGACATGGCTGAGCATGTAGCGCATAGACAGGATAACGGTGGTAATCAAGGGTTACTGACTGGATTCCCAGAAAAGGCAAGTGGGTTAGGGGGAAACAGAAAGTTAGGTGGGCAGATGAGATTAAGAAGTTTGTGGGTATAAAGTGGCAGCAGCAAGCACAGGACGATTGACTGGGGGATCATGGGAGAGGCCTTTGTCCTGCAGTGGACGTTGTCAGGCTGATGATGATGATGATACTAAAGAAAAAGTTCTCACTAGATCATGTTATGGTAGTAGAAATTATGCAACTCTGCCTTGTATGCATGAAGTTTTCATCTCTGAGGTACAAACTATTGGTAAGACACTGTCTAAAATTTTACACGTATTGGTTGGCACAGCCACAGACTCCACTGCGCTGCTGAGGAACTGGCATTCAGTCCGAAAAACATGGCTGCACTGCCGGAAGCAGTTGTTGCCCACCTCGAATCTATCAAGCGGCCGCAGTGTGCTCTGTAGTTTGTAAGCTCCGAAGTGATGCTTTCATTCGCTTAAGATTTATGCCCTTAAGCTTTTACAACACAATATTCATATCGATTCAGCACTGTTTTTGAAAGCCACTCTCAAATAATCGATGTTGTAAGCTTAGCAAGTGGGATGGGCACTTCACAAACTTGGAGGGCATACATTACACCTTTGTAATTTTTTTTCTAGAAATCCTCGATAGCCGGTGCCATTTGTCCAGGCAGCAGCTTTAGGACATGTTTTGGTTTGATGCTACGTTTTCCGAAGACGCTCTATTGAATGCTGGAAACATGGCTTTCAATGATGCTGACAACTTCCACATTTATAGAGTGCTTATAGCGTGAAAAAAAAAAAAAAAAAATGGCCCCGGATCTGCATGTTACACTGCAAATGTCATCGAAAGACGATAGTCTTGCGTCCGGAGAGTGTGAACAAAACATTTATTTGATGTTCTACGCAAGAAAATCGGTGAATGGTATTCTGGAGGCACTACGTTAGAGTGCCTCGAACGTGCAGCGGAGGCGAACGAGCGCATCGAGGCACGTTAGACACGAGCGCCATCTGGAAGTCATCTCTGAAAACGAAGGAAGGCGTGCGCGCCTGCAGAGAAAGATGCGTGCCATTCTCGGTGGCGATAAGGTGCAGAACGCAAAGCGACCGACAGGTGCCACCATCGTGTCGTTTTAGCAAAGCGTTGGTAACACTTGCCTTTTTGAGCATCGCGTTGCAATGTCAGTGCAGCGTGTTTAACGCTACGGTCTTTAGAATTACTTGTGCGTGCCTTCTCTAGTATGAAGGCACACATACAAAACATTGACATGTTGTATGGTACCTCAGATACGCGCAATGATTGCTTTATAATTGACAATCGCACAAGTATGAACACAAAATCTTGAGCAATATTGGTGGGTGCTGCGGATGGGGTCGGCCGTTTGAGGTATCGTTAAGGGCGGACAAATAGACAGACAGGCGGACAGACACACCAAAATTTTTCAGTCGAAGGTCCCCAAGAAAGACTGTCGTCTAAAAAAAATTGCAGAGCAAGAAGCAGGCAGCTCGAAGTATCCCACAACACATACAGACGATGCGACTTGCCGATGTAGCTGTCACCGATGGATGCTGTGTCGCGGTGACAGGGACCGCGATCAAGAAAAGCTGCTGTACGACTTCAACCTCGGTGTGTTGCAGAGTCGTGCACTATTTCCGTTAAAGGAAGGAATTTTCGACACTGCGCAAGCTCACCGCTGGCAGCGCTGACCGCTTGTAGACAGGGCACGGAAGGATACATATAGATGTGCTCGCCGTTTTGATCGGTCGATAAGGACTGTAGCTCCCACTGTGCTGCACGAAACTATAGTACTGAAACGGAGTATATAGAGGATGCTTCAAGTGAAGGTATTATTGCCAGCTCATAGATCAACAAGGTTTGAAAGGTGGGCATGGTAAGAAGGCATTTGGCGAGGACAAACCCTTTAGCACCATGCACCGCTAGAATAACGGTGCAACAAAATCACACATTTTTCAGTCCCGTGGCATCATGATATGATTCCCGAAATTCAGTGCAGTACACAGCAGTATAGTACACAGCTAACACAGCTGTGAGTGCAAAAAAAAAAAAGGTTAGAGCATTCAGCAGACTAGAACCATGACAAAAATGATACCACCTTTATTTTTTTATCATTGCAACAGAAAGCATGAAAGAAGAATGTGCAAACGAGTTGCCAGACTTTATTGGGTAGGGGGAAATAAAACAAATAAGGTTGAGACTGGCTGTCACATTTTTTTTTTGTAAGGCCAAAGCTGCGTTACTGGCACACCTCTTCTTTACTTTCATTGCTGATGTAACGCCCATTAGCCTCAGCTTGTTGAGTTGTCTAGTTGATTAAATTCACAATTCAAATAGTCCTAAATTTTTTTAGTCTATTAATTTCTCATTGTAACTTAAGCATGTTATGAACACTTAAGTTTTCTTTTCTATGTTCTTGAATTGATTTTGTTCTAGATTCTAAAGACTTTGAACTCTTGGAGGCAAGCACCAGTGCTTGCAGGTCAGTGCTGCAGACTCTAGTTTCATTTGTTGCCAGTGCTGGAAATGGTGGCACATCACCTCTGCCTAGTGTGTCTGATGAAGAACTTGGAGTACTCGCTGAAGTGGGTCTGCAATGCTCTGAACCATCTGTAAGGACTAATGTGACCCGCATCATGGCCGCATTAGGTTGCCTGTTGGGTGCCCATGAGACTCGTGTCCTCAAGGTTTGTTGCTTTTGCAAGTAGTCCACCATTTTGCTCTGTGGTGCACTTATCTGAAGAATTTCTGAGAACAAATGGCTGTTCCACAACTGTATAGGTGACAGAGTGGTTTTATAAAATGCCAGAACTACTATTGTCATAACTAGTACTCGCGGTAATCTAGTGGACTCTTGATGTCTTCAGGTGAACGACGACATGCTTTAGTGTGTAAACCAATATTTACTGCAGTTTACACTCTCAACAAAACGACAAGCCCAAAACTTAGTAAAATCATGCAATAGTAAATATTTTAATATTTCTGATATTCATATGGGAAAGTGCAATATTTTTTTTTCTTTTTAAGCAACTGCATTGTATGTTATCTGTGTGGTACTTTTTTTTTCACTTTTTTTTTATTGCCAAGAACATATGAACAGTGTTCTACTGTATTAAACAAGCAGCATTCTGACTACTTAAACTTTATGCGACATATTCGACAATTGCTGAGCTGTAAACTGTCTTTACATGTGCATATATTGAATATTATTTTTAGTTCTGCTGGAGAAATCTTACGACTGTATTTTGTCATAATTCTTTGTTGCAATAACATGAAAAAGATCGGATCGCATCATAATTCAACTTTTGATCATTCACTTGTATGGCTTGTATGGCTTTACATATCAGCTATAGAGTTCTTTGGTGCACAACTTAACATTCCGGAGTTCTAATCTCAACAAAGTTGTCCATTGAAGTTAAATAAAATGTCTCCCTTATAAAAGTTACATTTTTGTCTGTCTCTTGCGAGCTAATATAGTTTCAAATTTTAATTGTTTCCACTAGGATTTCTTGCAGTGTACATAATTTCATTTTACAAAAACTAGAGGGGTTATCTGGCACTAGTATTTCTGCAGGCTCCGTGAGCGGCACCTCAACCACTGTGGGAATGATATGAAATGCTGGCTTCGAATAGATTTCATTCTTCAGATTTATGGCACTCCTTTATTTATGCTTAAAGTGGGACAAAGTTATTAAAAATTATAATTTGCCTCATCCCTATGTAAAACATTGCATAAAGGTTGCATGACCATGAAACTTATGTGAAACATGGACAAATTCAATCACTTGGTATGCATTGCTCTGTAATTATGCTCTAGATTTGGCATTACAGAGTAATAAATTACTTTTTAGGGGCAAAGCCTCTTACGCTGTTGGTCGTGCCCCTGTCGTCATAGTAGCCACCTCTTGTTTAGTCCTTAGAGTGTCCGCTGGATGGCGGTACTTGTACATGGTGAATATGATGAAAAGATGCGGGATGGCGGTACTTCGAGTGTTAATTAGATGGACGGGCGGACAGACAGACAGTCAGACGCTTCGCCCCAGTCATCATCATTCACTCCGTGGATATGCTGTGATTTTTTTACAACAGCAAAAACATGTTTTTTGCTTGAAAGTACACTTGAAAGGACAGAGTAAGCAAAAATATTGAAAAAAAAAACATTTTTTTTCTTCTTGCATTATTTGAAATCTGCAGCCTTTTCTAAACCAGAGTCAATCATTTGTTTGTTTTAGTAAGATTTTTTTTTTTGCTCTAAAAATGACATATTTCAAAACTTGTGCGGCAGCCTACCATGCCCCCATTCTTACTTAGCAAGGAATTTCTTGCAGTTCAAGCATCATAGCCGTATGGAGAAGTTAGTCTGCAAGCTGGTGTGCATTTGGCACATTCAGAAAAGAATGGGCCCGGAACTGCAAAAATGAAAGGAAGTAGAGGCGTCAAGCTTTCTTTCAGGAAAGCTATATCTGGTCAGATACGTTTTAGTGGTGTCGCCATTGGCAAGCACTAATGCTATTATCATTGGGCCATTAAAAAAATAGAGCCAGCTTGGAGGACATGCGAAAAGCTGTCCAGTTCACATATTTCACATAGCATCAAAGGATGCCAATCAAGCGCACAACTTTTACTCAAAGGACACCGAAACTTGGTGTAAATTCAACAAAGCCCAGTTGAATGGTGAACCAGTAATTCATAAAGAACACCTTCCAGCATCTGTTAATGAGGCTGTTAAGTTAAATTATCTTGAATTAGCTCATCCAGAATTACTTGCTAAATTTCTCTACGGGAAAATTTAAAACCCTAGTGAGTCGTCGGATTGTAGTGTGGGATCACGCTCCTAAAAAACATTTTCCTCGGGCACGAAATACTCTAAATGTGCACTCTTGATGCTCTGCTCACTTTTAATGATGGCAATATAGCCCGTGTGAATGTGCTGAACTATTTTGGAATTTCGCCAGGCCACTGAGCAGTGCAGGGCCTAAGCACCCTTCAACTGCGTCAACAGTACTGTGCTTACACGGCTCCGTAGCAGGCGACAAATGAGGTTCGCCAGGCGTTTCAACACTAAAAGAAAAAATGGTATTGGTGATGAGTATCTGGCTGGTGCCTGTTGAACGGGTCTGTAAATTTACTGTTATCTCATTGTACTTTTGAAATAATGTATATTTTTAACTTTAGATGTGATTTCAAAACATGCTTTTTTTGTACTTGTATTCCTTTTTCACAGTAACCACAGTATCTAGAATTATATATTTTGGCCAGTATTTAGGTAACGTAATAGAGAATATGCTTAAGCAGAATTATTATTGTGAGAAAATGCTTTTCTGCAACACGACATATAATAGCTATTATCGAGTGATAATTAGGTATTTAAAGCAAAAAATTATTTCACGAATTAGAATTACAATTTTTAGTGCTAAATCTGATTCAGTAAAAAAGAGGAATGGTTCATGATCACAATGATAATAAAATAATTACTGTAGTTTTTATGGATATAGAGAAAAAGGTGCATAAACTTCACCTAAAATACATGGCGGGTGACATAAGGCTTACCCTGTTCTCTTAATCTATCAATGAAAATATACTGTATTAAGTGAAACTGCAGTGTTGTTGAAACAAATACTAAGAGTGTCATTGCTGCGATGCCTGGGCTTGTATTTTTTTGTGCACAGAACGATCATGATAGCAACAGTATATACAATGCATCTCTCACTTTGTTGTATAGCCGATTCAGCAGAGCATGACACATGGCTTTGCTGTCATTTTGCAGCCAAGTTTACTATCTTGGCAAAAGGGGCTTATCAAAAAACATGAAATCTAGGCAGTTCGTTGCCTCGGCTCTGCATGAAACATTTGCATGGAGCGAAGTACAAGCGGCACTTTGCTAAAGCCGTCTGATGCAACCTGCAAAGCTGCAATGTCACTGCAAATAGAGAGACCTGTTGCGCTTCAGCCACTTTCAACTGAAAAGGCACCGCTTGAGTGGTGTGTGCCACACTCCAGCACCCACGCCAGAGAACACTGTACACAATATGGTAGGATACAGCTCTGCACATGAAACTAGATCTGTAGAAATAACATTTGTGGACAGTTTGCTAAGACAGTCCAGTCCAAAGCCTGTACTTTCCATCATTCTTGTGGTGGTTGAAAGATAGCAGAGCCAGAATGCCCTCTAATTTTTGTTGCGTGAAACTCTCTGCCTTGCAGGCGGATAATAAGTGGATTTCTCAGCTGAAACTTGTGCTGTTGTTATAGCGCCTTAGTTTGGTTTAAACTATTACAGTAGTTCATACTATCAATCAGGTAATAGAGAAATGCTCAGAATATAGCCAACCACTATACGTAGCCTTCATAGATTATGAAAAGGTGTTTGATTCAGTAGAAATATCAGCAGTCATGCCTGGTTTACAGCCTGCTTCTTCCCTACCCTTGCATTGAAGTCTCCCATTAGTATAGTATACTGTGTTTTTACCCTACTCGTTGCCGAAGCCACGTCTTCATAAAACACTAATTGACGCGTCATCATGGCTGGATGTAGGCGCGTAAGCCTGTACCACCTTCATTTTGTATCTCTCATTGAGTTTAATTACGATACCTACCACCCTTTCATTAATGCTATAGTATTCCCTTATGTTGCCGGCCATGTTTCTGTGGATAAGGAACCCCACTCCGAGTTCTGTTCTGTCAGCCAAGCCCTGATAGCAAAAGACGTGCCCATTCTGTAGCACCGTGCAGGCCTCATCTGTGCTCCTAACCTCGCTTAGCCCTATTGCATTTCATTTAACACCCTCTAGCTCCTTGAATAGCACAGCTAGACTAGCCTCACTAGACAAGGTTTTAGCGTTAAACGTTGCCAAGTTCAGGTTCCAATGGCGGCCTGTCCAGATCCAGAGATTCTTAGCACCCTCTGCTGCGTTGCACATCTGACCGCCGCCGGGGTCAAATCTGCAAGAGAATTGAACGTGCTCTTCAGAACGGAGGAAGCGTCAAAACAGTGAAAAGGAAACTTGGGATAGCCAAAAATCGGATGTATGTACTTAGGGACAAGCAAGGCAAAATAACTACCAATATGGATAGGATAGTTAAAATGGCGGAGGAGTTTTACAGAGATCTGTACAGTAGTGGAGATAACCACGACCTTAATATAAGACTAACAGTAACCCAGATGACACCACACCAGTAATGATAGAAAAAATTAGAAAAGCCTTAGAGAGCAGGCAAACAGGCAAAGCTGCTGGTGAGGATCAGGTAACATCAGATCTGCTGAAAGATGGAGGACAGATTGTGTTAGAATAACTAGCCACCTTGTTTACGAGGTGATTCCTGGCGGTAAGAGTACCAGAATCTTGCAATGATGCTAACATCATCTTAATACAAAAGAAAAGAGATGACAAGGACTTGAAGAATTACAGGCCAATCAGCTTGGTCTCTGTAGTATACAAACTATTTACAAAGGTGATTGCTAACAGAATTAATACAACATTAGAATTCAATCAACCAAAGGAAGAAGCAGGATTTCGAACAGGCTACTCAACAATCGACCACATTCATACTATCAATTAAATAATAGAGGAACGCTCTGAATATAGCCAACCACTATACATAGCCTTCATAGATTACGAGAAGGCGTTTGATTCGGTAGAAATATGAGCAGTCATGCAGACAATGCGGAATCAAGGCGTTAACGGAGCCTATATAAACATCCTGGAAGAAATCAACTGGGGAT